CACCGTGTTGGAGCCGCAGGATTGCGCTGTTATAAGGCTTCTATTCGTCTGTACTTAGAATCTGGCGCGTGGGCATTATAGTACGGCTCCTACTGGTACCTGGTCCTTCCCTTCGAGTGCTGCATTGGACGGTACTCTTGACACTTACTGGAGTACCCGACAAGACGTAGACGCCGCTAACTTCACGGTGGGTGCCACTGCTGCCTCGAACTGCTTGAAGAAGCTTCCCAGGTTGCCTTTGCCGAGTTGTTCAACCTCGCCGGAGTCCATATAGAGTTTCTCTATCGGCCTATCGGCATAGAGCTGTACCATAGCGTGGACTGTATAGTGTACAGCTTGGTCGACTCCATCGCGGATAATTATGAGTGAGTCCTCATCCTTTCCGAGGATCACTTCTAGAGTAAGACTGTGGTAGTTACGCCTTTGAAGTACCAACAACAATCCACTTCCAAGCTCGCTGCGTTCGGGTTCACCTATCAGGCGCTCGTGATACCATATGGCACCCGGATCGCTATGGAGATAACACCTCTTTGGTGCAAGTCATCGCCATAAAAGAGTTTACCTTGCTCGAGCACGCTGGTGGTGGTAGTGTCTTTGGAATAGAGGACTGCTCCGGTTCGAACTGTGGATTACGGTAAGTCCCCGTGGGGTTTCCTTTTTGAAGGACCTGTGTTCCGCATAGGGATGCATCTGCTGATAGATACGACACAATAACCTATGGTTTGCGTGAACCGAGGGAATGGTTTCTAGCATCGGAAGCGGACATCAGGAGCCAAGACGTAGTGGGAACGAAAGAGAACACCATGCAGAAAGTAACCCTGCATGAGGTCACGAGATTCAGTTTAGTGTAGGTTCACATCGTTGCGGTATTCGGTGGTAACACCATTACATTGTACCGTAATGGACAGCAGTACGGTAGCTCTTACAACGGCTCGGCGATAAGCGCGTCAGCATGGGATAGCAACGCCAGGCTGATCATGGGGATTCGGTCCACTGCGTAGGGCTATTGGGTTCTCCCCAGTTGAGGCGCTTCGCACAAGGTACGTCGGCCTCTCGACAGTCTCTATCTTCAACGGTACGCTATTGGAAGGCCTCACTGGACTTCATGATGATACTCACGATAACTTCTTTTCGGGGGCTATACATTCAGTGACTCTCATTAGAGGAGCTCTGTCAGCTGAGGAGGTCTTGGGCCTCTACGAAAACAATGCCGGGAAACCCGAGCGAGCGTGTCACTGTGGGCATCGTGTGTGCCCTAGTGGTCCATCACGGTTCCTACCTTCAGTACAGGTAAGTTCGAAGAATAGTATGTCGTGGCCGGTCGGGTGTCTCCTCCCTCAGTGGTGATCTCTGAGTTACCGCTCTCTCGTGTTAGGTCCCTTGCTCGGGCCAAGGAGTGTGCGTTCGTAACGTGAGTGCAGACGGCCTCACCCAGACCGGTAGCTGTGTCTGTTTACCGGGCTACAGTGGTGGGCAGTGTGGGACTGGATGGGCCTGGGTGTAGATCCTGGTCAGGTCCGAACTGTTCAGTGCATTGCTCTGAAAACGGGGGCTGCTGTAAAATCGATGACGATTGCCCTTATGACCGTCATTGTGATGAACTCACCAGCAGCTGCGTCAGCTAGTATCGATGATTCTTTGGAGACTTCCTCATGCTCCGTCATGCAACACTAGATGTGTTTCATTCCTTTTCCCTACTGTTTTGTTTATTTTGCCGGCAGTGATATCCCGCATTATGCTCCCAGTTTGATGAGTTTTTCGTTACGTGTACTCCTATCTCCCGTTGAATGCATTGGTTCATCTTGCCATCTCCATCGTGGTCTTTAGCGCCTATATCAAAGGCCTAGAGAAGGCTCATCTAGAGGTCTACAGGGCCCAGTAACGAGCATCCATTTGTGTCCGCTATTCTCCCAACCAAAAGCCGTTCAGCCCCTCCCATTGGGAGTTACCAGCCGTCTTTCTGCTGTGCGCCACTGTGGTGGTGATCTGAATGGCGGTAGGCCACTCCTATGGTCAGCGCATAGCCTCCTGCTTCTACTCAGCTTGGGGTCCTCTCGGGTGGCCTGCTGAGACCCAATGCGTCTAGTTCCTTCTGATCCCTATGAGTTCCTCCTCCGCCTCGTCCACCCCGAGAGACGGCACCGAATCAGATGGTGAGTCCCAGCGGTCTAGTGCGGCTATAGCGAATGAGAACCGACACGTTGGCCTGGAAGGATCGCAGTGGCATGCAGTATGCACTCTCTCACGACTGAGAAGGGAGGGACGGGTTCATACACAGGTAGGTTGGGCTCATCGAACACCAGCAGTTACTATACTCTGGTTTCCCACGGTTTCTTCGCCCTCAGGTCGATGGACGATTCGTATCAGTGTTATATGATCCCCGACCACAGAGTGGGAGCAAGGCACCTGTCATATACTGTCTAGATTCTATTTGTTATCACATGGGTGGTCCCTTGACCACGGGAGATATCGAGGATGTATGTTCTCTACTTGGTTCATGTTTATTCGCCTTTCAGATTGACGGCATTCCCAGCCTCAGTTGTCCTTGGCATCAATATAAGATCAACTTGCGGGATGGTTCTCGACTTTCCCGCCCAGTTACTTTTGAACCAAAGACTCGGAAGCCAATACCGGGCAAGTGGGAGGTCCGAACTGGGGCGCGTGTGCCGTTATGAGGTGCACATTTGGTCAGAGTGGTCCCAAGTGTGTCCAGCGCATACACGATGTTCGTTGTACAGCCGATGGGCAAGTTGAAGTGAGGCTCACTGTGGAAAGCAGTCAGCCCGTGCTCAGCGATAAATACGCATACAACTCCCGTGCTGGTGAGAAAGGGGCCATTCTGTATCACCGATCGTTCCTAGCCCTCAGTGATGAATTGACAAGACTCTCTATTCCTCAGCTCGTAACCTGACCATAAAGGGAAGCTCTTCCGAGCAGTTGGACTCCTCCAGGCCTCCCCCGTGCGTGATGGACTATTATAATTCCCCCCGCAATTTCAAGAGGAGGTTGTGTGCCCGCCAATCGACTATCGGGAATTGAATCCTCTGCATTACTCGATAGCCCTCCGACTATCGGACTATTACGTTTCGACCATCACCTGTGTTCTGTAGGGCCCCTAAAGTCGTCGTCTTATGTGAGTTTAATATTTCCTATTTCTCCACCCTACGATGTCGTCCTCGCCCATGTCCCAGTGTAGTGCTCCCCTCAGTGACTCTGATGCTGAGTCTGAGTCCATCGTCTTCAGTACCTCCTCGGAGTCCAGCCCGACCAGCCTCCCACAGCGGCTCAAGGACGTCTTCGGAGGTCAGCCCCTCCCCCACTGCTGATCACTCTCTTGCATTGTCTTCAGATGACGAGCCCAGCGTAGAGGCGCTCTGTTCGGACCCTAGCAGATATTGGAAGCGAGTGGTGGTCCTAGCTGGCGCTGGTATCTCCGTGAGCGCCGGGATCCCTGACTTTCGCTCGCCCAATACAGGGATATACGCTAACGTGAAGCAATACACCGACAGTCTGCGAGCTCCCGAGGACCTCTTCTCGATCCACTACTTTCGGCATGACCCTTATCCTTTCTACAGGCTATGTCATGAAGCCAAGTTGGGTAGGGGGACGCACGAGCCTACTGCAGCGCACAGGTTCGTAGCATGGCTTGCCGAGAAGGGAGCTCTATTACGGTGCTACACTCAGAACATCGATAGCCTTGAGATCGATGCCGGCGTGCCTGAGGAACTCGTCGTTCAGGTGAGAACACTCTCCCACATTCTAAACGGTTGAGTTTCTTCCTCCCTAGGCTCATGGCCATCTCCGGTCAGCCCGGTGTATTGATTGTGGATGCCCGTATGGCGGCGACATGAGCGACTTGTTGAGCTCTGAGGAGCCGGTCCACTGCGCTGCCTGCTGTGGCTTGGTGAAACCAGACGTTGTATTCTTCGGCGAGAACCTGCCCGAACGGTTCTTCGACTGTGTCCAAGAGGATCTTTCCCAAGCAACGTTGTTGGTCGTGATGGGCACCAGCCTGCAGGTCGGGCCATGCAACCAAATACCCATCCTGTTGCCGAGGACCACTCCTAGGCTGCTGGTGAATCTAACCCCACCTCCTCACGGTATGTTCCGGTTTGGTCGGGCTGATAACTACCGGGACGTCTTCATCGAGAACGACACCGACTCCGCAAGTGTGGAGTTGAGGAAGATGCTCGAGGAGTCCGGTGGACTGATGCCGTCCAGGTTGTGATGCCACCTGGTTTGACCGATAAGATGATGAGAAAATCTGTCCAACACGAGAACGTAACGGTATAGAAATACTGCGCCCCCAAGGCGGCACTATTGGCAGTATTACACATTTGCTTCATCCTTGAGTTTAACGATAGCGTACAGTGTTCGTCACAGTGGGCAGGGTCCGGGTCTCGTGAGGAAACTATCCGTGTACTCTATCGCCCAATTCAGTTCCTGATAGTCTCTTTGATGAATGGTAGTCCCACCTCCACCCCAACGAGGCACGGAAGGCCCTGTTCTTCCAGAAGCACAGGCTTTGAAGGCGAACCCTGTGGAGGGTCGTGGTCGGCAAGCTACCATCAGTGAATCGACTTCTCCTGCTTCCGTGAGTCGGCCTGGGGCCAGTACGAATCCTAGTGGCCGAGAACTATCACCCTTGACTGAAGAGCGTAGCTTGGAGATTGATGAACGTGTTGTTGATGGCCCCGAGATGAGGAAGGACAGTTCCACTGAAGACCACATGAAACGAATGCGGAGTGGATCCAGTCGGTCGGGCTGTAGCGGCCCTCGATCGGATCAGTGGTCCTCAGGCAATATCATGGTAGCGGTTAGAACGAGGAGTCTCCTGCCCTTTGAAAAGGCTCAAGGTGGAAGGGAAGTCCTCAGGGTGGGGGGGCTGTACCAAGACCAGACACGAGTCGAGGATGTTATGGTAGGTGCTGGAGAATAAGGTGGTGGTGCTGATGGATCCGGGGACGACGGCTAGTGACGACTACCTCCGTCTGAACAAGTCTAGAGAACGCCGGTACGGCTGCTACACGGCTTCACAACGACGTTATAGACCCCTGCTAGGTACGCCTTTGACCATGTATTCGAGGCCAACTGCACCCAGAGCCACGTATACGAGAACACCGCTCAGTTCCTAATACCTGGTGTGCTACAAGGTTTCAACGCTACTGTTTTCGCGTATGGGGCCACAGGAGCGGGTATTGGTCAAGATCAACACTGTCTAGTGGAATGTCCCTACTTCAGGCAAGACCTACACCATGCTCGGTAGCTACACACAGCCTGGGACTATGAATCTCACGCTGAGGTAGGCTGTAGAATACGGTCTTCTGGGTCAAGATTAGTCGCGCAGAGATCTCTTCGATCACGTTAAGGCCCTGAAGCGACGCAATGAGAAGCACGTTCAGATCAAGTGCAGCTTCCTGGAGGTAAGAGCAGTGTAAATAGGTCCACCAGCTCAGACCGCATGTTTCCTTTCGCGACACCGATTTTCAATGGCCTCGATGGTTTGTGAGCTACTCAGTATGAGCGTAGGTCTACAACGAGAATATTCGAGACCTGTTGGCATCCTCGAGCTCCGATTACCTCGATCTGCGTGAGGACCCGGTGAAAGGGATGAGTGTGGCCGGTATCAGTGAGGTCGGTGGTCTCGAATCAGCCCAGGAGATAATGGAACTCCTACAACGCGGCAATAGGAACCGCACTACAGAGCCCACTTCAGCCAATGAGACATCCTCTCGATCCCACGCTGTGCTCCAAGTGGTGATTGAGCAACGGGAGAAAGGGTCTGGTCTCGTTGCTGAGGTCCTTGTCGGGAAGCTGTCGATGATAGACTTGGCGGGCAGCGAGCGGGCCAGTCAAACCAACAACAAGGGGCTGCGGATGATCGAGGGAGCGAACATCAATAGGTCCTTGCTGGCCTTGGGGAACTGCATTACAGCATTAGCAGATCAAGCAGGGGGAAAGCAGAGCAGCTTCGTCCCATATAGAGACTCAAAGCTCACACGCTTATTGAAGGACTCCTTGGGAGGAAATTGTCGTACCGTAATGATAGCTAATATATCACCGTGTCATCTCAATTATGAGGACACTCACAATACGCTCAAGTACGCCAATAGAGCGAAGAAAATAAAGACTAAGGTACCAGACGAACGGTGACTCCACGTGTAACCATAACTTCAGGTTACGAGGAATGTGCTCAATGTGAGCTTCCATATATCCAAATACACGCAGATCATAAATGAACTCAGAGCTATGGTGGGGAAGGTTCACATTGTAGTCGGATGAGGACGTGTGCCTCGTAGGTCACAGATCTCCGACAGAAACTTGCAACGAAAGCACATGCAGTCACACCAGAGGAACTGGTAGGTCTGGTCTCCTTCGATGTTGATCAGTAGTAGTGGTCTATTAGATGTCCCCTACGAACGATCCCGAACGGGAGGCCTCAGAGAGGTGAATCCCCATGCTCGGGTGGTGGTCGGCATATGTCTCGTGGTAGGTGGCGACAAGAGTTGGTGAATAACGTGGAGGAGCGTGTCCAGCTAAAGCGGAGCCTTATTGATACAGAGATTGAAGGCCAATCACAGCAGACTGCCAAGGCTGGTGTGATGCTATCGATCAGTCGCTGGGAGGAGCAGACTACCAATAAAGAAGCTCCAAGTGATAACGAAGGGCAGCAAAAATCAATAGGGGCACTGCAGCAGGAGCTGAGCTCTATAGAGGAGTCAATCACGGCAAACGAGAAGTGGGGAGAACACAGTCTTGAGGGACTTAACCTTTCGTTAGGAATCGCCACATGCTGGCCCAGCGTCTGAAAGATAACGAGGAAGTTCTACGCGCCCTTCAAGCTGAGCTCCCGAACACAGTAAGCAACTGTCAAACATGCTCATATATATGACTATTGTTATAGGTCCACAACGACGATGTACGCGCATTCCTCGAGCTCATGTTCCGGAATCAGGTGGGTTTCCATGGGTATGGATGTGGGTCTCTCTCCGACCGCTGTAGGTGCTCGAAGTGGAGGCGATGGAATCCTATGAGCAAGCCCAACAGATGCTGAAGGCGCACGAGATGATTGTGCATCAGAAAAATCTGGAAATTGAAAGGCTTAAGTTGAGGATAATACTATACTCGCAGTTCTCTTGGTCTGCGTGCCTTTTTGACCACCTATCTGTGTCCCGTCTCAGTACCAAATCAGACTGCGAGATCAAATGCTGGAGGAACACCGCCTTGTGCTCACCGACGAGCAGCGTGGTCAGGTCGATAGAGTCAACAGTCACGCTTCGTAAGGTTCAGCGTGGCATCCAGCTAGTGTCGCGAGACAGAGGTTGATGAGATAGGTATATACCTCTGCGAACAGGCGACTTCATCGAGGCTACCGAAGAATCCGATCTGCCACACGTTGGGAATTTAGCGGCGTCTTCTGTTGACTCTAGCGCTACTGATCAAGCGCGGGAACTCGGTATACCCCGAGCGAGCAAAATCAGAGGGATGAAAGTCCTCGTCGAGGAGATCACCAAAGGCCCCCCTGTTACCTCCCGACAAGAGACGGAACGGCAGCAGTCTCCACAATACAAGCCCCCTAGCAGAGCCAAGACCCCCTCGACGGTGAAGCTACCACATATAGATCATCCTCCTGGCCGATACAAACTTCTCTCACGCCACCAGAAAAATCCTCTACTGAGCAGCCAAGGACGGAGTAGCAGTAGATCTACCCTAGACCAGCCTCGAAGTAGCTCAGTCGAGTGGAGTTGTTTTAGAAACCGGGCTGATCAGGAGGGCCCCGCAATCAAGACCACCGTGGAACTACTAACACGAGCGTCTCCAGCAATGACCCACAAAAGGAACACAATCGCTTTGGAAGAACCAGAGGAGGTCTATACCGATACAGAAGCTCCGTGGGGGATCACTCTCTACGAAACAAGATTACATCACTCCCAATCAGGCTATAAACCGGACCACTGGACTCCCCTCGGCCACACACGTCGTCCATTGGCGCAAGAGACCCGGTGGCGGTGAGGTGCTGTAGTTATTATGACTTCGCCAGTTTGTTGGCTACAGTTTCTCCTACGTCTGCTGCGGCCTCAGCGAAAGCCTCCTCGGGTTTTCATGGAGGGAACTTGCAAGCTCTGCCTCGACCAAGCAAGCAGTCAGCGTCTAATCCACTTTCGAAGGTTGTTTACTACTATCGTTGGGAAGTGATCATCCGCAGTCTTTTCTAGATAAGAGCGCTGGCCCAAGCTTCTGTCCGCAGAGTTCGGCTTTCCAACTCAACAGAGCAGTCGCCAGGCAAGCATGAAAACCAATGAATCAATCATTTTCCACGTATCATATGTAATGGTGTCCTCATGCGATAATTTTATGGCGGTCGTTGTTTGGTTGAGTTACCGAGGTATCTCCCTCGAACTAGTAGTGGCTGAAACATGTGCGAGCACTGGGACAGCATCACCCGCATTACACATTTCCACTCACCGATTCCTTATACGGTACACATCATTACATGGACCATTCACGTGTACGTCCTGTAATAGAGTAAGTTCAACGACGGCACAACGCACTGATGGAAATAGTGCTCAACGCTTGGAATATTCACAGTTGGCACTAGGCTTAGTGGATGGCACAATAAACTCGCGCTTCCGGACATGAAATTATGTTGTCAGCGGATTATCCTAAATTCGTGGTGTCACAGGTTTTGCACTTGTGCTGATGTACTGCTCAAACAACGATAGGGACAATATTTCTTCAGAAGTACAGGGACCCTCGTTCATTCGTAGTGCGTTACAGTTGTATATAAGTGAGGCGAAGTCATCACCGCATAATACTTACACGGACTTGGCAGTGGATCATTCAAGAATTCCTCAGTTTTCAAGTACCAACTAGTGTAAACTCGACAGTGTGAGTTATACGAGATGATTACACCATACCAAAAGTCATGCTTATCATCCTGCTACACGATGACTGTACCACTCAAAACTCTTTACATCCATCAAGCCCTCAACGTTTCCCTACTCGGGATCTAGTGAATGTAGCATGTATATCAATCACTGACTTTTGCTTTCCTGGCGGCTTCCTCAAGCTCGGCGCAGGCCTCTTTCCACTTTCCTTGCTGAGCCAGGCTTCTAGCGAGCAGTTCGGTCACTCTAAAAGACTTCGCAACACCAGTGACACCACGACGCTGATACAGTCGGATGAGTTTCTCGGCCTGAGGCTCCCCATAAAAGACGGGACACTTCTAGTCACCCTTCAGTCACCTCCTTTGCGAACTTCCCGTGACCCAACAAGCCATCAACAAGCTCGGTGAGAAAGTCCAAGCAGCGGACCTGGATAAGCACATGATCGAGCTTGAATACTCTGAGTTGTCGTCAGACTTCCCCAGACAAGAACTCTATCTCAGCCCTACGGTCCACAGTGCTGAACACCATACAAGAGGTTCTCATGAAGGCTTGCAAGGCCTGCAAGGATAAGTCCAGTGCACAGTAGATAAGTGATCTACTCACCTTAGCCGCGCCGACAGCATCGTCGCTCCTCAGCAACTCGACACACAGGTCGGCCCATACCCCGGCTCGATACGGATCGAGAGCATTGGCGGCTTTGAGGAGGCTCAGCGACGACTTGCATCCTAAGCTGATACTATTGCATGGCGATTGAGCCCTTCAAGTCCTCACGTTTGCGTTCCACTAGCGCCAAGCCTAGCCACGCCAGGGACGTTTGCTCATATGTCAGACTCGTCCTGAACGCCTCCGATGCCTCTGTGAGCTGACCCAACTCGCTATAGAGAGTCCCTAGACCAGAGCACTGCATACACCATAACAGCTGGACTCGAGCACTTACCCATTCGGAGGTATACAATCGAGTCCTCCGGTGGACTTGTGAAGGTTCGAGTTGCCTTCTGGAAGGAATCCAACGCATCCCCTTTCCTCCCCAGTCTGAAGTAACATTCCCCCCGGTAGAGCCACGCTGCCTGATCCCGGTCGCTATCCTGTCATGGACACGACCTTCCCATCACGGCACTCGCCCTACCCTTACCCCAAGGATTAGCTTCTCTACAATGTCAACAGCCAGATGGAAATTCCCTAAGGAAAGTAATATGAGTAGTATATGATAGCAGTGGTAGCCATTGAGTACGCTCAAAGCTACCTGATAGCATTGCCGTTTGCACCCGTAACAGGCTAAAGCACCTGCTAGCTTTAGCAGAGGCTCCAAGGTCAATCGAGCCTGATCAGCATCAGCAGCATGGCCTATACTCACGAGCTACAGTGTTCCTATGAACCTTCGTCTATAAGACCCAAGATGGACTGAGTCATCTCCCCCAAGCCCAGGGCGATAAGCTCTCTGATGACGTCCAGCACGGGGATGTCTCCCACGGGTATCCCACAGGTCTTCGGTCTCATTGACATCCCATCAGCATCGCCTAAGCAGCGATAAACCACTGTACACTAAAATGACCTCACAACTAGGCTGGGCTCCTCCGTCTTCCTCATCAGCATCGTCCTGAACACCTTCGGAACAAACAACTCCTGTACCAAGTGACACCCCTCCAAGCCTCTCTACCTCCCTCGGTCCTATCCGTCTCGCCCTGCTCAGCGTCCCCTGTGGCATCCACAGCCGCCAGCTTGAGGTACCTCGTGAGCATACCATGGCCTACGATGACTACGGGAGGGTCCTACTTATCCCTCAGTCGCCATTGATCGATTTGGTGTAGAACCAAAGCGAGCAGGAGGAAGGTCCCCTTCGGGCATCGTTGGTGTTCACCAAGCCTCAGTATGAACCTGATAAATGACCATAGCAATAACCTCCTCAGGGACTGCCGCGTCACGAGAAGACTCTCAATGCCGCATCGACCTCGCCCTGGTCCGCCAGGAGGACCGCAAGAGCCGTTAAAGCAGGCACCGGCACCTGGACCAAGACCATCCTCAACACTACACCGTGCTCCCAGTCCTACCCGTCGTCGCACACTGGGGTCAGCGGGGATGTGCGCAAGCGTGCCAGAGAGACCACACAGGGCCAAGCAGCGCTGTAAGGCCGAAATAGCCTTAATTTTCCTGATGGTCTTATGCCCCTCTGGGCCGCCATAGGTGGAGGCCACCCGACACAGCAGTCGGGCGTACCTTACGGGAGCCTCGGTCCGACACCCTCACAACGTAGCCGCCCACCGGAACCATAGCTGTGGATCCTCCATGTCCAGTTCTAGCCTTTTCTCAAAGAACAATACCGCCCGATCAGGCCAGCCATTGGTCTCAGCTTCGAAAGACAACCGGGCATAGCGTGCAGATAAGTCCTAACAGGAGATCCCACCCACTGCTATATGGGCCGCATAGAGTACCCTCCTGAGCTTCTCCTCACCAGCAGTGTCTCGAGCCTCCCTAGGCACGAGAGCTTCCAACCCGGGACTGCGTCCTCCTCCACCTACCTTGGCCTCCAGCACTCCTCATCGCGGCTCATCGATCGACTCATTAGCACCGCCTCAAGCGCCCGGTCCGCCAGTCCCATGCTCTCCATGAACAACTCACTGGAGGGTACGTACTCTTTCCACACACAGGGAGCCGCAGCGGCGAGATGCTGAACACCAAGGGACGGTTCTCGCTGATATTTCCAGTCATATTAACTCTGTCTTTGCTTCGCTGGGCACCACGGGCCGCGAGCTTCGAGACCACAGAACGAACGTCATTCATGAGGGCCTCAGCGGCGACACGACTTTCTGGGAAAAAAACCGAGGGGACCGTAGCGACCACGGGTCGAGAGGATTCGCTCACCCTGTGCCTCCCCGTCGCTCTGTAAAGATAAAATGCCCGGCAGTAAATGTTCATCGACAGAAGCGGCAATCTGAAGGGATAGAGTAAACCGAAGACTCCCATCTACCCACCGACCTCCTCAATGCACTCCTGCTGCAAGCTCAGCTCTCGGGGCTCCTCGGCCAGCTCAGGAACGATGTACTCCTACACCAACATAGTTGAGGACTCACTGACGGGGCAGTGCTCACCAGTGGACCTTCGCTCGGCGTTGCTGATGGTATTTGTATCTGAATGCTCTCAACACCAGCAGGGCGCTCCTCCGTAACCTACTCTAGTGTCCAGAGCATCCACAGGGTGGTCCACTGATAGGCTGTAGCGAATAAACGTCCCTGTCGTCTCATACGTGGGCAGACCCTCCCCGTCCTGAACACGATTGAGGCATGTCTAGTGCGTATATGCTCACCACTACCTCCTCCTTGTTGTTGTCGCATGATCCTTGCGGATCCCCCGTCACAACGAGGGCCGTCCCCCTAAGAGCTCCCGTCCATCCCAAAGGCTGCTGCCCTCACTAACCCCTCACTCTATTGCTGAGGCCGTTGCCAACCTCCCCAGAGGGATGCGGGCCTTCCCTCGGTATCGCTCCGCCAGACTCTTCATACTCTCCACGTTGCTGCTACCAGCACCAACATTCTTCTGCAACCGGAGTGTGCCCCTCTATACAGCGGAGCCCCTCCCCCGACCGACCTGGCCGCCTTTTTTCTTCTGGCCCTCCTTCTCTAAAGGAACCTCCGGCACGCTGATGTCTATGTGGACCCACTGGTCCTCTGCATGCCTCATGGAGCCACAGTGCAGGGCTCGGACTACTTCGAGGAACCGACGACCCTAGGTTGTGAAGAGCTATGACTCTGGCCACCTTGTTTGCTACTATCACCTCATATGCCGCGACTGTAGGGTTAGAGCCCCACTTTACGAAGGGATCCTTTCCTGGCTGATTGGCCTCTGCCGCCATGCCCTTGGCCAGACACAGCAGGAAGTCGTCGATCGTATTGAATCTACTTGATGACACTCGATCATCGTAATATAACATCTGCCCTGAGTACCTCTCCAGGGCCCAGGGGCGGAAACCATCAACGACTTTGCATAGCCCAACAACATCGAGCTTTGCCATACCCTCCACCATCATATCATCGACAACACTCTGGTATCCATGAGAAAGGAAATTGAGGATATGCCTACAGAAGGCCACTGCCAAGTAGCGGCTGACCCCTCCGATATACCCTCCGGTGATGCCACCATTTCCCTCCTGGCACAGCAGTATGTCCTCAAGGGTCCGCCCTACTAGAGAGGATGAGTCACCTAGCCAGACTCCACCCTACCCTTCCCACCCTCGTTGGTGTTCAACTCCACAGCCACAGCCTTGATATGGAGGAGTGCTTCCAATGCCTGATATAGGGATATAACCTCAGACGTGAGCACTGGGAGGAGTGATACATCCAAGTCCTCCAACATCAACATGTCCCCAGCCGACACATAGCCATCCCTATCACTGTCCAGCCAGTGGAAGATATACTCCAACTCATCGCTGCTAGCCGCCGCCGCCGGCCCCGATGGAGCGGCCTCCATGTAGGCTATGAATCTAGACGCTACCACGTCGGCTACACCCGATGGGCATTATCATTCCCACTCATGAACATCCACACCCTCCTCTGAGCCCATACTCTCGAAGGCCTTTCCGAGGCTACCGCTATGGGCCACACAGACGTCACGTAGCCCCTCAGCCTTCTTGACCATTTCGACTCGCCTGAACAGAGGCAAGCGGCTACGGATGATAGTTTCCATCAACACCAACCTGTACAAATACATAGCCGTGATATGATACACATCCAAACCTCTATCCACCTCAGTTACTCCCAGGAAGTCAAAGACGCGATCAGCCAGGCTCTTCCCATCGCCACTAGAATCTGTCCACAAAGGCGATGCAAGAGGGGCGGCGGCCCTCAGCCACCCACTCGTCTCCTCCAATATTTCCTCTTCTGCTCCTACATCGGTCTGTTGTAACCACGCCGCGAGCTGGGCGACCAGATGAGATATTGAGATCCCGAAGACTCACCTGCTTCTTAGTGACGATCTCATTCACAGGTCCAGGCTGCCCACTCCTCACTATTCCGGCCAATGCTTCCTCGGGCGCTCCGAATACCTACAGCCCGACAGCTACGGAGTCGGCTCCTCGAGCTGGCCACAGACCTTCTGGAGTCGTCCAGCCAGTTCTACTGCCTCCACCATCCCCTCCATACCATCTTTCTTCGAAAACGCCCTATCGACCTTGAAGGGAAGGTATGGTATGGTAGAGAGGCTTTAGCAAGGCTCACACAAGCCTTGGTGATGCAGCGACGCTCTTGGGGCTCATTATCAGCCAAAGTCTTGAACAAGGCCCATATGGCAAGCGGACCAGCAGGATAACCAAGGGCTCTGCGAGATCAGCTAGGTCCAATCAGCAGGCCATGTTCGGGACCCTGTTACTCCATCTTATTCCTAAATTCATCGGCGCCCACACGAACGTCTGCTACACCATAGGCCAGTGCTTCCTAACATCATATGCCTATCAACGCTTCACATAGTCCCTACTTCCCCGCCATCCTCTGCATGGTCATCCCCAGCAGCAGGGACAGCCCACCTATACAGCTTGCCGCTCCTCAACTGCATACCCCTCAGGTTGACCTAGAGAGCGAGGCGATCGAGCGCCTCAGTGATCAGCAAACCCCTCACAGCATATTCTAATGGATAGGATCCATCCACATAGCAGGAGGCCTCCTCTACCACTTGGTCACCACCACTAAGTTCAAGGAGAGGCTTGGGTAGGTTGTACCTGGGGATCAGTAGCAGCATCGTCACTGTCGGAATACTAACATGCCATGGACGTGCAGTGTTACGACTCGCCAATCCTCGGGGAAGTCCTCCACGTCTCCTAGAGGAAAAGGTGTTCCTCCAGAGGGGCTCTTCTTATCACCAATGAGATTATCCGTTCCTATCCTCACGTGGGCGTCTAAGGTCGGAGCTTGCTCTACTTGGAGTTCTGCTGGGTCCCTACATGAATCTGATCAATCAAGACGGCATACTAGTCGACAAGTTATCAGGCAAACCTTGCCAAGATTGTTCTCAAGCTAATATGCAGCGAGCCATACCTTGGGGACCACTAGTGGTTGGCGCCAATGATAACTACACTTACTTGGTTCAGCCCCGGGGCCCTCCTCCTCTGAGGCCTTGTCGAGGTACTCAGCAGCTAGAATGAGTCTAAATGACAACCAGAAGCCGTAGTAACCTCAACAGCA